AAAAATAGATTAAAATAAATAATAATAATAATAATAATAATTAAAGAGTAGCTGGAAAATAACAGTAGCGAGGCTATATACAGGGAGTACCGGTACAGAGTCAATGTGCGGGGGCACCGGTTAGTCCAGGTAATTGAGGTAATATGTACACTACCGGTCAAAAGTTTTAGAACACCTACTCATTCAAGGGTTTTTCTTGATTTGTTTACTATTTTCTACATTGTAGAATAATAGTGAAGACATCAAAACTATGAAATAACACATATAGAATCATGTAGTAAACAAAAAAGTCTTAAACCCCCAAAAAACAAAAAAAGTAAATAACCACCTTTTGCCTTGATGACAGCTTTGCACACTCTTGGCATTCTCTCAACCAGCTTCATGAGGTAGTCACCTGGAATGCATTTCAATTAACAGGTGTGCCTTCTTAAAAGTTAATTTGTGGAATTTCTTTCCTTCTTAATGCGTTTGAGCCAATCAGTTGTATTGTGACAAGGTAGGGGGGGTATACAGAAGATAGCCCTATTTGGTAAAAGACCAAGTCCAAATTATGGCAAGAACAGCTCAAAAAGCAAAGGGAAACGACAGTCCATCATTACTTTAAGACAGGTCAGTCAATATGGAACATTTCAAGAACTTTGAAAGTTTCTTCAAGTGTAGTCGCAAAAACCATCAAGCACTATGATGAAACTGGCTCTCATGAGGACCGCCACAGGAATGGAGGACCCAGAGTTACCTCTGCTACAGAGGATAAGAGTTACCAGCCTAAGAAATTCATTAGAGTTACCAGTCTCAGAAATTGCAGCCCAAATAAATGCTTCACAGAGCTCAAGTAACAGACACATCTCAACATCAACTGTTCAGAGGAGACTGTGAGAATCAGGCCTTCATGGTCGAATTACTGCAAAGAAACCTCTACTAAAGGACACCAATAAGAAGGAAAGACTTGCTTGGGCCAAGAAACACGAGCAATGGACATTAGACCGATGGAAATTTGTCCTTTGGTCTGGAATCCAAATTGGAGATTTTTGGTTCCAACCGCCGTGTCTTTGTGAGACGCAGTGTGGGTGAACGGATGATCTCCACGTGTATTTCCCACCGTAAAGCATGGAGGAGGAGGTGTTATGTTGTGGGGGTGCTTTGCTGGTGACACTGTCTGTGATTTATTTAGAATTCAACGCACACTTAACCAGCATGACTACCACCGCATTCTGCAGCGATACGCCATCCCATCTGGTTTGGGCTTAGTGGGACTATCATTTGTTTTTCAACAGGACAATGACCCAACACACCTCGGGGCTGTGTAAGGGCTATTTTACCAAGAAGGAGAGTGATGGAGCGCTGCATCAGATGACCTGGCCTCCACAATCCCCCGACCTCAACCAAATTGAGATGGTTTGGGATCAGTCGGACCGCAGAGTGAAGGAAAAGCAGCCAACAAGTGCTCAGCTATGTGGGAACTCCTTCAAAGGGTGGCTATTTGAAGAATCTCAAATATAAAATATATTTTGATTTCTTTAACATTTTTTTGGTTACTACATGATTCCATATGTGTTATTTCATAGTTTTGATGTCTTCACTATTATTCTACCATGTAGAAAATAGTAAAAGTAAAGAAAAACCCTTGAATAAGTAGGTGTACATATTACCTCAATTCCCTCGACTAACCTGTGCCCCCGCACATTGACTCTGTACCGGTACCCCCTGTATATAGCCTCGCTACTGTTATTTTACAGCTACTCTTTAATTATTTGTTATTTCTTTTTATTATTTATTTATCCATTTTTTACTTAACACTTATTTTTCTTTAAACTGATGGTTAAGGGCTTGTAAGTAAGCATTTGATAGATTAATTATTAATGACTAATTATTACACCCTGAAACTGTGTGTAATGTGTTAGAAATGTGTGAGTGTAGGACCAGTAAAGGCTATGGCATTGAGCCACTATTTAGCAATGTGAGTAAGAGTTAGGCCAGACAACAAAGGCAACTGATAACTGAGGAATTTAGGGAGTAGAGAAACTGTTATGAAAACATGGTGCAGAATATTGTGAGAACGGCAATAACTGAGTAATGCAGGGAGTAGGCTATGATGAGTGTGTGTATGCATGTGTGTGTGTGTGTGTGTATGCATGTGTGTATATGTGTGTATGCATGTGTGTATATGTGTGTGTGTGAACTGATTTGTCTCCTGAGTGGCGCAGTGGTCTAAGGCACTGCATCGCAGTGCTAACTGTGCCACTAGAGATCCTGGTTCGAATCCAGGCTCTGTCGCAGCCGGCCGCGACCGGGAGACTCATGGGCGGCGCACAATTGGCCCAGCGTCGTCCAGGGTAGGGGAGGGAATGGCCGGCAGGGATGTAGCTCAGTTGATAGAGCATGGCGTTTGCAACGCCAGGGTTGTGGGTTTGATTCCCACGGGGGGCCAGTATAAAAAATATATATATATATATATATATATGTATTCACTAACTGTAAGTCGCTCTGGATAAGAGCGTCTGCTAAAATGACTAAAATGTAAATGTAAAATGAGAGCAGTTTTAGAGTGGAAAACTACAGCCCGCCTACAGAGGGGAGGGATTTTTTTGTATGACGTATGAGTATAAAAGATGGACTCTGAAATTGTGATGGCAGAATTCTCAATGAATAAATCTCTGACTATGCAGATCGAGACTGTCCGTTACTTAAATCCCAAAAGACTTACAACCTTTTGGGAGACGCACAGAGACACTGAAATAGTTTAGTTAAATAATTCACATAACAGCATTTCACTGTAGGTCTACACCTGTTGTATTCGGCGCATGTGACAAATAAAATTAGATTTGATTAGATTTGATACCACCACTAGAACAAATATAATGGATAATTGAACAATCAAAACACCCACGCACACACACACTCGAGCACACACACACTGAACTTTTTCTGATTCATGACCTCAACTCATATGCATGAACAAAGACAGTATTTGCTCATTCTAAATGGGGGGAAATTGACATAGCCTTCTACGGTGTTGACGTAGCCTACTATGGCTAGGCCTAGTATATAACCCACTGTGTGCTGGTGGGGGGTTGGACACCTGGCAGACGACTCAGCCAGACCCAGGTAGGAGGCTGTTCCCAGACAGAATAAATCAGCCACTCTGCGACTGGGAGGCCAAACAAGATGGCCGCCGGCTCCACAGGAGCCAAGATGGCCGACGTGACTCAGGTATCTGAAGGATGACTTCAGAGCCTGGCCATGCTGCCAGGGAGAACCATTATAGAACCACATGCTCCTAGGTAGAGTTAAAGTGACTATACATAGATAGTGAACAGAGAGTGGCGGCAGCGTAAAAGAGGGTGTGGGGTGGGCTACCCGGACAAATAGTCCGGGTAGCCATTTGATTAGCTGTTCAGGAGTCTTATGGCTTGGGGGTAGAAGCTGTTAAGAAGCCTTTTGGACTTAGAGTTGGCGCTCGGGTATCGCTTGCCGTGCGGTAGCCCCAGTGATGTACTGGGCCGTACGCACTACCCTCTGTGTTGCCTTGCGGTCGGAGGCCGAGCAGTTGCCATACCAGGCAGTGATGCAACTAGTCAGGATGCTCTCGATGGTGCAGCTGTAGAACTCTATGAGGATCTGAGGACCCATGCCAAATCTTTTCAGTCTCATGAGGGGGAATAGGCTTTGTCGTGCCCTCTTCACGACTGTCTTGGTGTGTTTGGACCATGATAGTTTGTTGGTGATGTGGACACCAAGGAACTTGAAGCTCTCAATCTGCTCCACTACAGCCCGTCAATGAGAATGGGGGCGTGCTCGCTCCTCCTTTTCCTGTAGTCCACAATCATCTCCTTTGTCGTGATCACTTTGAGGGAGAGGTTGTTATCCTGGCACCACACGGCCAGGTCTCTGACCTCCTCCCTATAGGCTGCATCTAACGCAACTTTTGATTGACTTGAGTTGGTGTCACAAAAGAAGCTGAACTGATTGCCAGGAATGTGACAATCTGCGTTAAGTTCAAAACTAAGTTTTGTTCATTTGAAATATTTAGCATTTGAAATATACTCTGCCGGCTGCACCACAGATGGCTGGATAATGAATGTTTTTGTTTAATCTTCCATCCGTGACTGAAATAGCTGCATCCCATCTAACATACAGTATGTTGATGTGAAACCGCTAATTAGGCTAACTTACACTACTTATCACTTACAAAATGTCCTTGTCATTTCATCAGCGTCCGTTACCTCGTGATTGATGCCTCCGACTGGCTTCAATTCCCAAATATATACTGTATGCATAAATATACCCCAACACAGAAGTTTAGTGTAGCACCGTAGTGTATCCCCCTGTTTCCCTGGGGACCCATTAAAGTGTAACACAGCCCATAAGTGCACAGGAAAACCAGATGAGTAGAATAAATCTCTCTCCACTGTGTCGGAGGGGAGCCGTGGCTTGTAGCAGTTCAGGTGGATGGACTGCTGTGCCGTGCTGCTCGCCACATGAATGTTGTGAAATATCTGATTGATACTGTGCCTCTCTCCCTTGGCGCAGGGAGTGCTCACAGAGACTGTGATTGAAATAACACACAGTGAGGTGGTGAAGTCACTGGTGTCCTATGCTAGGTCACTATATCTGACCACACCACAAAGCCTATACTACTAAAGCTTTGGTTGGATTGTATTGATTGTTATTAAAGAGTTGTTGTAGACGCCTCGCTGTATTGGACAAATGGCAGACGTCAATAGGGCGACAGGATTCCTCACTGACCAATTGTGCTTTATGATGGAGTGGTCAGCTCTGGTGTGGTGAGGGAGTCACATATCCCATCCAAATGTCTGCATGTATTAGCGCCCTCCAGTGGTAGGTGCAATAGGTTGCAGGTCATGACATTGTCCACAGGAGGGCGTCGACAGCATCATTGGCAATGCAATAGAACATTAATACAGCGATGTTCCCTATTGTCTTGTACATAATGTCTCCTGTCAGTTAAAGTGGTGCTGTTTCTCCTCTCCCATCAGGCCATGCTGCTGAGTCGTGATGGCCAGTACCTGCTGACGGGGGGAGACGGGGGAGTTCTGTCTGTCTGGCAGGTTCACAACCTCAAACAGATGTTCACCTACCCAGGCTGTGACGCAGGCATCCGCTCCATGGCCATGTCCCACGACCAAAGGTAACATACACACCTGGACCCTGGTTACTCTGTCATCTTGTTGTGTGGTATCAAGTTTTGGCAAAAGGAAGAAATAATTGAAATATACCATCTTCAGATGTGGTTTGTAGTAACTAACATCAAAACTTCCCACTCTAGAATGCATAGAATACCAAGATGAAGACCTTGGTGTTATCCACAGTATAATGACAGTAGACGTACTGTGTGTCCTAAAAGTACATAATGTTCTGTCTACATGTATGAGCCTTAACTCAACACTCCCTCTCGGCTCTGTCCTCTCCTAGGTGCATTATAACCGGCATGGCGTCCGGTAGTATAGTACTGTTCTACAACGACTTCAACAGGTGGCACCACGAGTACCAGACCAGATACTGAGGCAGGACCACCCCACAACAACAACAACAACAACAACAACAACAATCCTTGAGAATCTGGTTAACATGGGAACTACCTACTGCAATCCTGTCGTCTGATGTACTAAGGCACTACTCAATACATATTGATATCCTGAATGTATCTTAAGAGAAGAAAAACTGTCTGATTCTGTCGAAAGAAGCAAACTATTTTTTTTAAAAGGGCATTGCTATATTTTGTAGGGCGTATCGAAAATTTCATATAATATAATATCTTAGGGTGGGGTTATATACCTATGGTTACAAATCTATTTTTAGCTTGTTAAGAGTCTATTTTCATCTCGAGCAGAGGAAAATAAGGGTTCAAAGTGGAAGTAGGTAGAAAAGTATATTTGCATCTATTGTCTTAAGAATCCATATATTTGTGTACTTTAGGGGTGAGTGATTTTTTTTCAATAGGTGTGAAACGTGGAGATATAATCATTCTTTTTGTCATTAATATCCTTTTTTTTCATGCTCTTTTTGCTACTGTGTGGAAACACAGGGATATAAAATATGTGAAGTTTGTGAAGCGATCGAGCAGGAAGTTCAGTTAGTCCTTTTATGTGTTCATGACATGAGAGGGAATATATTCTATTTAAATGTTTGTACCACACCTCCTCTCTGTAAGCGGACATATCTTGCCTTCCTGTGCATGAGTTATTCCTCTGCTGTCCTGATGGTGGCATACACTGCACAAAAACATGTCACCAGTTGTCATATGTGTATCAGACAGTCGTCATAGTAACAAGATGGCTGCCGGTGTGATTAGTTTGTATCCGAGTGTTGTCATGACGATCATTAGCTTTATTATGTATGTACTGTAACCATACTGATGAATAATATGTCTGTCAGTAGAAACAGATGTCATGGGCTACGTCCTAATTCTATAAAATGGCATCCTTTCCTCATCTCATTTCCTTCATATTGCTTACTTATCACCTATCAGTCCTTTACATGAAGGAGATGGGACAAGGAAAGGAAGCCATTCAAAATGGCTGACGTAGCCATGATGTGCTTCTTTGTATGACTTCTTGTTAGCTTTACCTCCTCTACTGAGGCATTTGCAGTACTTAAGCATATATCATATTAGCAATTGACACAGTACCCAAACCATGCTAGGATCATCAAAGTCCTCTGTCTCCAAAGCATCTCATCATGGCAAAGAGAGGTGCAGCGAAATGAGGGACTCGTCAGTCTGACTGTGTGTCACGGTGAATATTCACTGGTTAAACCCGACCACAGACAACCCTGGTCCTGGACAGCCAAAGGGTGTGCACTTTTTAGTTCAAGCCCAGCTTTAAAATACCAGATTCTACCTACTTATGGGCCTTCAGGTCAAAACTGAATTGAATCAGGTGTTTTTGGTGCAGGGTTGGAACAAAAACAAAAACCCTGCACACCCACTGTGGTTCCTCCAATACAACGGTTGCTCATAAGGAGAAACATTCCGTGTTGGTTTGATCTACGCTTGGTGTGGTTACGACTGCAATGAAATGGCTACTACTGTATTTTCTATGTGTCACTCGATATTTTGGCAATCAATTTGGAATGAGTGTTTTTGAAGCGTGATGAGTTCTGACAATAAAATTGAATTTTGTAACTTGAGACGTCTTGTCTTAATTTGAACTCTTATTTGATCTAACGTTTTCTGAAGTTAGACTGGAGTAACCACATCGTTCACAGCAGCTGCACAACTTCCTCACCTGACTGCAGTCAAGGCCTAGGTAGGTGGGTATGTTTAACCCATAGAGAATGATAGAGGCCTCTAGTGGCCAAAAGGCCTATTAGCATGGGCAGTATCATTGAGGGCTTCCACCATTTTAATGTAGTTGACTGGGTGCGACTTCCAACTTCATTGGCTGATCCCTCCTGGTGACCCTGTTGGTGTCATGTCCAACCAGGTCATCAGGAGGGCTCAGCCAATCGCGAAGAAGAAAAGGGACTACTTTAAAATGGCGCTGCCCATGCTGTCACAGGCCCTATAATGGCACAGATACAAAGATGAGACCTCTATCTCTATGGTTTAATCTTAGGTTTATTCAAATTGCGAAACTAGAAGTGTATTCAAAAAAAATATATATACACTTTTGCATAAAGACCTAGATGGAATATCATCAACCAACGGCATTAGATTTGTGGAAATATATTGTGTAGCTTTCCCTTTAAGAGATATGAAGGTTGGCAAGTCTTCGCCAGCTCCTGCTTGCTGCTCTCCATGTGGCAAACCCCCAACACAGTGCTGGTGCTGCCAATTTATACCGTAATAGTCCACTCAGGCCAAGTGACCTGCAGAGCAGGGGGTTATGGGAGCTTGCTTGGTTCCCCATAGGCTCAATGTTAGAGCTAGATCTGGTAACCGTTTCTAGCCTGGTGAAAGGCTCAGTAGATCTGATTCATCTGGATAGGTCTGGAGCAAACCTTATGTCATCAAATAGCGGTTTTGATTGGCTAATGGCTTGGTTGGAATTAGGCCATGTTGTTGCTTCAGATATTGTCCACAGGAGGGCGCTGATGATCACATGGGGCTCAGTCACTTTACCTCATTGTGATTGGCTTATAATATCTGATCGCTACGCACCTTCATCAACATAGGTGTCTTAACTTTTCACACACACTCAAAAACATAGTGCCAAAGAAATAAAAACATCTAAAATGAACACTTTGATTTGAATACGTTTTATTGCGTTTTAAGTTCTCCGATGTGCTCCTAATACAAAATGATAAAGGAGTCACAGTGGCTAAATGTCTGCACAAACTAAAAGTGCTGGCCAAAGCTGACAGGAGTGTCTTTCCTGTTTGAAATGACATTTTCATACACATGTATCCAGACTAAAACTGTAATAAAGAAGCATTATGATGATGAAAGTGTAGTTTGACTAGAAGTTCTACAACAGAACAGCTAATATACATAGTAGTACCAGCTTGACGTGTGTGTGACCTGTTTTGTGATGAGGCAGAGGGAGGAACACGGCATGCAACTAAAGCCCCTTGGAGTGGTAGTGTTGTGCATCGGAGCCATTATCAATATCAGAAGGGTTAAACCCTAACCAACTGCAGTAGGCTAGGTACCCTATTTCCATACATAGTGCACTACTTTTTACCAATGCCCTATGGGCCCTGCTCAAAAGTAGTGCACTATATAGGGAATAGGGTGCGATTTGGGACGTAACCATGGACTTTAAAACAAGTGCATTACAGACAAAGTAAGACAAGAAAGTAGAACAGCCTCACATTATTATCAGGTAAATCTGTACTAATAAATGAGTATATGAGGGTATAGAGCTCCCAGTGTTTTCAGCCAAGCTGGTTTCAGAAAGGGAATTTCTAGCTACTGGGTCAGGTTCATTAGGGCACACAACGAAAAACATTTTAAAAGTCCAGGAAGTCCCTTCCTGTTTTCTTCCTGATTAACATTTACATTTGAGTCATTTAGCAGACGGTCTTATCCAGAGCGACTTACAGGAGCAATTAGGGTTAAGTGACTTGCTCAAGGGCACATCGACAGATTTTTCACCTAGTCAGCTCAGGGATTCGAACCAGCGAACTTTCGGTTACTGGCCCAATGCTCTTAAACACTAGGCTACCTGCCGCCCTGAACACACCCCTGATCTGGCAGCTAGTTCACAGGCACACCTCTCCTCATCGACACATTCATCTTCTATTCTGTTGTGTCTCTCTTTTGGTGTTCAGCAGTTAAACACTACAGGCTCCACAGCAGACCAATGATAAACAGGCTTACAGGCAAAAGAAGAAAACAAACTCAAACCTTCAACTTTCATTTGGATGCCTCTTGTGTCTGTCATACAATACTATATACATCTACAGTAGTATGTTATCTTACAACAGACGGCAAGCACACCAAATAATACACTTATAGCCATTATCAACATGTGTGCGTGTCTACCAACCAACCAGAGACAATAAATAAAACCAAAAATAAACGTTAGCAGAAGTCATTCCAGAAAACCCCATCTGAAACCACTCTGTTTTCTCCACATCTCTCATATATAAATACACACATACTGTATATACAATCAACCAAAATGTACAAAACACCTCAAACTCCATCTTGGAGCGTGGATATGATGGGTTCTCTACAGAGATTGTACTATAGGTTGTAGGAGCCATTTTGCTTGTTTTTTACCATTTGTTGCTTGTTGCTAAGAACGATACAGCAGTGGATATCAGCTGATATACTGTACTGAGGATGGAGGTGGAAGGTCTATCTGTATCTAGCCCCCTACATGCGACCCATAGGTCTGGGGATACAGTGGGTGGCGGTAAGGGGGCTGGAAAGGGACAAAGTAGACCATGGTCCAGCAGCCAGTCTTCTCATCCATCATTCTTTTTCACAGCTCTCTGGCGGTAGCAGCAGCGACAGCTTCAACGTCAAGGCCCACCAGGGGTTGGGGCACGGTTGGGGAGGAGCAGGTAATGGATGATGGAGGGGTGGGGGAAGTGGGAGGGGAGCAGGTCAGGGGTGAGGGAGGGCTAGGAAAGTCAGAGGGAGAGAAAGGGGCAGGAGGAGGGGAGGAAGCTTTGCATTTGGAAGGTGATGAAGGAGTGGGGCAAGTAACAGGCATAGGAGAGGCAGGAGGGAAGGTACAGAAATGGAGCTTGGTTGGAGAGGAAAGAGAGGGGGACATTTTGAGTTTGGTAGGTGAAGAGGGAGAGGGAGGAGAGGGAGAGATAACAGGTTTGGTAGGGGAGGAAGGAGAGGGAGAGATAACAGGTTTGGTTGGGGAGGAAGGAGAGGGAGAGATAACAGGTTTGGTAGGAGAGGAAGGAGAGGGAGAGATAACAGGTTTAGTAGGAGAGGAAGGAGAGGAAGGAGAGGGAGTGATAGCAGGTTTGGTAGGGGAGGAAGGAGAGGGAGAGGGAGATATAACAGGTTTGGTAGGAGAGGAAGGAGAGGGAGAGATAACAGGTTTAGTAGGGGAGGAAGGAGAGGGAGAGATAACAGGTTTGGTAGGGGAGGAAGGAGAGGGAGAGATAGCAGGTTTGGTAGGAGAGGAAGGAGAGGGAGAGATAACAAGTTTAGTAGGAGAGGAAGGAGAGGAAGGAGAGGGAGAGATAGCAGGTTTGGTAGGATAGGAAGGAGAGGGAGAGATAACAGGTTTGGTAGGAGAGGAAGGAGAGGGAGAGATAACAGGTTTAGTAGGAGAGGAAGGAGAGGGAGAGATAACAGGTTTAGTAGGAGAGGAAGGAGAGGGAGAGTTGTTGGGCCTGGTAGGGGAGGTAGGATAGAGAGAGATGTTAGGCTTGGTAGGAGAGGAAGGAGAGAGAGGGACAGAGGGAGAGGAAGGATAGAGAGGGACAGAGGGAGAGGTAACAGGTCTGGTAGGTGTTGAAGGAGAGATGGGAGGGGAAACAGGGACGGGCACATCCGTCTGAGGGCTCTTGGGTTCCTCCTCTGGCAGGGCAGGCTCGGTGGGTGATGTCAGCTTGGTGGGTGATGGCAGCTTGGTGGGTGATGGCAGCTTGGTGGGTGATGGCAGCTTGGAGTTGGGTGAGACTGGTGAGGCTTGCTTGACTGGCATGGCTGCAGGATGGATTACTTTCTTCCCAGGCAGTGGTGGGGGTGGAGGTGGTGCTGTGGGCCTCTGGCTGCGACGAGTCAGCTGGATCCTCTTCTTATCTAGAGCTGTGTTCTGGTAGAGGTCAGAGGTTAGGGAGAGAGAAAGTCAGACCAACACTCACCTGCTGTACTGTACAATTCAACAGAACCAAACAGGTAGGGAGAGACAGACATAAAAAATAGTGGGTCAATCTATAATGGAAAGAGAAAACTGACCCTAGATGACTTTCAATCTCACAGGATATACCTTTAGCAACTGATCTCTGACACAGTAACTAACATGGACTAACATTTATATGTAACGTTAACACAGTAGATAAAAATCAAAAACTATGGACAGGAACTTCCATGGATCCATAGATAGGATGATGTTACAGTGACAGACCCTTCACAGTAGTAGACTGACCCAACAAGACAGCAAATCATATCATCAATGCTCAGTGTAAGGGAAAATGAGAAATGATGCTAGAGAGATTTTTCCTCATCACAACCCAACCCAATTATAGATACTGAAGATCAGATCTGGAATTGCAGATCATTTGGATTGCTATAATAATAATACTCAACTATGTAACAATCAGAAGGCATCAAGATTTCCCATGTTCCCTTTGGTGAGTGAGTCTTAGTGGCGTCAGTGAAGAAGCATTAAAGAAGCGTAGCCTTCAGTGTTAGTACATACCATTGCCTTGGAGCTAATTCAGAGGGTGGCAATGTGGGCGTGTCGGGGAGGGGTGGAGGGGGCGGGGAGGAAGCAGAGGGGACAGAGACTAGTCTTACTCACAGCTCAACAACATTAGAGGAGACACAGAAATCAGGGCTGTTTGATTCCTGATCTGGTGTGCCACAGAACTGCTAGTTTTCCTCTGTCCCTGGTAGCTAAGTGAACAGTTAATGTCATTGGTTAGCCAGAGAGTCCACTACTCACCTGGTTTCCAAGTCTAAACAAAAAAAGCAGTGGTGTCCCACTGGGCACAGACATCAATTCAACGTCTATTACACATTGGTTCAATGTAAATTTCATTGACATGACGTGGAAACAACGTTGATTCAACCAGTGTGTGCCCAGTGGTGTGGCTCTTCAGGCCTGGAACTAATTAGCCCTAAAGTCTGCTATGACAACTATCTCTCAGGATGCTAGTTAGCTCATTGACATGATTTTAGAAAAATCTTAACTTCTGGGGAGTACTATACTTTGGTAAGGCTAAAGGAATGTTAAATCCAAGGCAATATAAGCAATTTTCATCTGTCTCTCTCATCCAGTGCAGTAGTGCAGTTTAAATGTTTTACCACAAGGTGGTGGTAGAGCTTAATTTAACAATTATAAGGAGATGAACTGTAATATATCCAAAGGACATTGACAGCAGGTTGGCATTTATTGTCATGAATCTTGTTCTGGAGGCAGCTCTGCAGTAGTCACTAGCTAGCACAGCCACAAAGTAATACAATCTAATTTTAAACCTAATCCTAACCAAACTGCTTAATGCCTAACTCTAACCTTAAATTAAGACCAAAAAACTCATTTTTGTTTTAATTAATTTTTACGATATACCCAATTTTGCAGCTGGTCCATCTAGCGGAAATCGCTCAGTTCTGCCTCCAAGGCAAGATTCATGACAATAAACGTCAACCTGCCATTGACATGGCCAATTGTTATTTATTTTTTATTTTATTTAACATTTATCTTAACTAGGCAAGTCAGTAAAGAACAAATTCTTATTTACAATGACGGCCAATACATGTAGGAGTAGGATCATGGCTTTACATAGACATAAAATATATTGTAAAATTGCCATAGACATTTAATGTCCCCAGGTTATTGTAGGGGCATTAACTATAAAAGCACTACTTTGGATGAGTGACAGAGACGGGGGCAAATTAAACATTAATTCAGCAGAAGCAATGAGGGCTTCTCTTACGACTAGTTAGTTAGCATGCCAAATAACCACCCAGCCAGCCAATAACACAGAATACAATAAACATGTACAAACCTAAAATCAGACAACAACTCTCATCACAGCAGTGACATCATTGTCAACAAAGTCAGTCCACACAGAGACAAGTTGATTAATGAAGATGATTATGAGTGAGGAAAAAGTGGAGGATGAGAGAGGAGGATGAGTGAGAGAGAGAGAGAGAGAGAAAGAGAGAGGGAGAGAAAATGAAAGAGGCCCCATTGGAGGAGGAGAGAAGACCTTAGGCGAATTACACGAGGGGGCAGAGCAGCCATGCAAACTGATTGAAGGCCACTGGAGAAAGTTACTGAGTTATTCTGCCCAGATCAATCTGTTATAGAGAGGCATTACTGGAGCTGGGAGAGGGGAAGAAAGCGGAGGACGGGGGAAATCGGTACCCTGCACTCAGCTCCAAAGCTTCCCCTGTGGTCCTGGGATGAGGTGGGAGTGGGATGTGCAGGGGGGGCGCAGGGATCACCTTTACATCTCAAACTGTCAAAGGAGATTTTCAACAAAATGAGGTTTACCCCCCAAGTCAGGGGCAGTCCCAAATGAACCCTTACACGCCCCTTAGCACATGCTAATCCCCTTCTACTGCTGCAGTGGGTATACTGGACACAGGTGGCTTCCTCTCATTGTCTCCTCTCCTTCATCTTCACCTACAAGGAAGGAGATGAGGAAGTGGGAGCTAATTGAGATGCATCCATTGACAGACCTATGTTGTATTGGTAATTGACAGGCCAGCTCCAGCTCCATAGACCCCCAAGTGGACCAGAGTGGGTGGGTGGGGAAGTGATGTGACTAGAAGTGTGCGGCAGATCGAGAGGAAGTTCACTACCCACAACAGGAAGTTACATAACTGTGCCAGGAGGAGCATAGGCTTGTGGGACAAAGCTTAAAAACAGATAAAGAGGATAGGAGGATATGACTAAGGATGTACCTCTTTAGACCAATGTACTCTGGAGTCACTGAGAACATTGCGTCAATGCTAAAACACTACATTTCTACTACAAGGACGAAAAAGTGTTTTAGAGATAAGATGATGAATCAGGATTTATCCATGTGTAATCCCAGGGGAAAGCATTTTGAATAAATTCTGCGCTCTTAAAACCCTCAGTGATATGATTACATGAACAGAAGTTGTCCATTTCTTATCTTTCCTGTCAGATAATCTCTCATGTTCTTTTGGATCAAACTCTTATGTAACTAACTGATTAATAGTACTATATGTGAAAATGGTTATTCTTGGTTTGAAAGTGAGTAGGTGTAGTGCTGAACTGACTAACATTTGTTACAGCTCATTTTTGTTTTTGATCAATCTTAAAATATAAGCTGATGTTTTGTTTTTGGTTCCTTCAGAATACGACTGGTGGCAAGAAAATCTGGCCATGGTTTCACAATTCTGAAAATATCAAGCATCTACAGACGAGGACTCTGGGGTGTCTATGTACGACAGATGTTGGAATACAGAGAGTGCAGATGAGGGAAAGTATATGGAGATAAACAATGTGTGTAAGGGAAACGTGACCAGAAACTAGTCTCCATAGAGAGGAGAATGATGGGTTGTGATAGTGAATGTTGTCGTCGTGTTCTCACCATGATGACTGCCACTCCTGCTGTGGTTGTGCTGTGCTTTGGCGCTGTGTTGAAGTGTGTCCTCAGTTTACCTGACACCTCCATCTTCATGTTGTTCTCCATGTTGTCATCCTGCAGAGACACACACATATTCTCCTTTATGGTGTCACACACACACACACACACACACACACACATCACACACACCACAAAAGTCCACAAGACAAGTTACCGTGACCCAGGGGTGAGAGAGGATGTCCTGTGCCGTGTAGCGAGCCTCCACGTTCACCTGCAGCATCCGCCCAATCAGCTCCTAGAAAACACATCAGGTCATGGTGACATCATCAGTGGTGACTTCTTCAGAGTCCAGTCTCTCTCTCAAGTCATGTCATCGCAACCTTAACTTGACATGTTGACAGTGAGAACATTGTAGAAGTGTCACAGAAGCACTGTTTGGCTACGTTCACTGTGCCTCCAACCAGGGTTGTATTCATTAGGGCTTACCATAACAAAACGTACCAAAATATTTTGTAACGGAAAACGAAAATGAGTCAGTCCATTTTCTTCTATTCCGGTAACTAATGAAGAAAACATGTACTGTCCTGTAAAAAAGTAATCTACAGTGGCTTGCGGAAGTATTCACCCCCCTTGGCATTTTTCCTATTTTGTTGCCTTACAACCTGGAATTAAAATGAATTTTTTGGGGGTTTGTATCATTTGATCAACTTGAGCGTGCATAACTATTCACTCCCCAAAGTCAATACGTTGTATAGCCACCTTTTGCAGCATTTACAGCTGCAAGTCTCTTGGGGTATGTCTCTATAAGCTTGGCACATCTAGCCACTGGGATTTCTGCCCATTCTTCAAGGCAAAACTGCTCCAGCTCCTTCAAGATGGATGGGTTCCGCTGGTGTACAGCAATCTTTAAGTCATACCACAGATTCTCAATTGGATTGAGGTCTGGGCTTTGACTAGGCCATTCCAAGACATTTAAATGTTTCCCCTTAAACCACTAGTGTGTTGCTTTAGCAGTATGCTTAGGGTCATTTTCCTGCTGAAAGGTGAACCTCCGTCCCAGTCTCAAATCTATGGAAGACTGAAACAGGTTTCCCTCAAGAATTTCCCTGTATTTAGCACCATCCATCATTCCGTCAATTCTGACCTGTTTCCCAGTACCGGCCGATGAAAAACATCCCCACAGCATGATGCTGCCACCATGGTGTTCTCGGGGTGATGAGAGGTGTTGGGTTTGCGCCAGACATAGCGTTTTCCTTGATGGCCAAAAAGCTCAATTTTAGTCTCATCTGACCAGAGTACCTTCTTCCATATGTTTGGGGAGTCTCCCACATGCCTTTTGGCGAACACCAAACGTGTTTGCTTATTTTTTTCTTTAAGCAATGGCTTTTTCCTGGCCACTCTTCCGTAAAGCCCAGCTCTGTGGAGTGTACGGCTTAAAGTGGTCCTATGGACAGATACTCCAACCTCCGCTGTGGAGCTTTGCAGCTCCTTCAGAGTTATCTTTGGTCTCTTTGTTGCCTCTCTGATTAATGCCCTCCTTGCCTGGTCCGTGAGTTTTGGTGGGCGGTCCTCTCTTGGCAGGTTTGTTGTGGTGCCATATTCTTTCCATTTTTTAATAATGGATTTAATGGTGCTCTGTGGGATGTTCAATGTTTCGGATATTTTTTTATAACCAAACCCTGATCTGTGTTTCTCCACAACTTTGTCCCTGACCTGTTTGGAGAGCTCCTTGGTCTTCATGGTGCCGCTTGCTTGGTGGTGCCCCTTGCTTAGTGGTGTTGTAGACTCTGGGGCCTTTCAGAACAGGTGTTTATATACTGAGATCATGTGACAGATCATGTGACACTTAGATTGCACACAGGTGGACTTTATTTAACTAATTATGTGATTTCTGAAGGTAATTGGTTGCACCAGATCTTATTTAGGGGCTTCAGCAAAGGGGGTGAATACATATGCATGCACCACTTTTCTGTTATTTATTTGTATTTATTTTTTGAAACAAGTTATTTTTTTCATTTCACTTCACCAATTTTGACTATTTTATGTATGTCCATTACATGAAATCCAAATAAAAATCAATTTAAATTACAGTTTGTAATGCAACAAAATAGGAAAAACACCAAGGGGGATGGATACTTTTGCAAGGCACTGTACATTTAAAATCTGCAATATTACAGGCAGAGGTATAAAAAAAATAGACTGTTGAGATCTCTAGACGTAGGCCTCTCTTTGTTAAGTCGAGGTGCCACTGCAGCAGAGGATTTAGTTAGTGGTTCAGCCTTGCTCTGAAATAGCTGCTGTCAGTGTAACACATGGTGGTAATTTAGTGGGTGAGAGGAGGGAGTAGGGAGCACCATGCCCTTCACCACTCACTAGTCATTAAAAGGGAGAGAGAGAGAGAGAGAGAGAGAGAGAGAGAGAGAGAGAGAGAGAGAGAGAGAGAGAGAGAGAGAGAGAAGAGAGAGAGAGAGAAAAAAGATGGAGGCAGAGACAGAGAGAGAGAGAGGCAGACAGAAAGATGGAGGCAGAGACAGAGAGAGAAAGAGGCAGAGCAATAAAAGGCAGAGAGGCAGAGCGAGAGAGAGTTCCCTCAGATTACAAAGACCCACAAAGAATTCGAAAACAAACCCAATTTTGATAAACTCCCATATGTATTGGGTGAAATACCACAGTGTGCCATCACAACAGAAAGATTTGTGACCTGTTGCCACAAGAAACAGACAACCAGTGAAGAACAAACACCATTGTAAATACAACCCATATTTATGTTTATTTATTTTCCCTTTTGTACTTTAACTATTTGCACATAATATGACATTTGAAATGTCTTTATTCTTACATTTTTGTATTGTTTATTATCTATTTCACTTGCTTTGGCAATGTAAACATGATGACCTGTGCCTGCTGTCACCCCCCACAGCACATGGCCTACAGCAGAACCTGGACCTGCTAGAGCAGTACTGCCAGACCTGGGCCCTGGCAGTAAACCCCAAAAATACAAAAAAATGATTTTCCAGAGAAGATCTAGATCTCAGGGAATTAGACCAATGTTCTCAATTGGTACAACATATATAGAGTACTGCACACACTATAATTACTTAGGTTTAAAAATAAGCTCAACTGGACACCTTAATGAGGCAGTGAATGAACTGAGAGAGAAAGTACTAATTGAAATACCTATTAAAATTTGGCTAAAACTAATTGAATGTGTCATTGAACCAATTGCACTTTATGGCAGCGAGGTGTGGGGTCCACTTGCAAAACAAGATTTCACCCAATGGGACAAACACTCAATTGAAACCCTGCATGCAGAGTTCTCTAAGATTATCCTACAAACAATGCATGCAGGGCAGAATTAGGACAATATCCACTAATAAAAAACTCAAAAAATAGCAATTAAGTTTTGGAAACATCTAAAATACAGTGACCCCCTCTCATATCATTACCAAGGCCTGCAATGCCAAGAGCTGAGCAAAGAAATGAGTCCCCTCATCCAGCAGAGTTCACAAACCTGTTCTACTAACACACTGAAGCCTCAGGACCAGAACATCCAATCAATCAGAATAAACCAAATTACAACACAGTCAAAACAAAACTACATTACTTATTGGGAAACACAAGCACAAAGTAAAATGCAGTGCTATCTGGCCCTAAATCGACAGTACACCGTGGCAAACTATTTGACCATGGTTACTGATCAAAACCTTGACAAAGTACAGGCTCAGTGAGCACAGCCTTTCCATTGAGAAGGGTAGACACAGGAAAACCTGGCTCCCTGTAGAGGAAAGGCTGTGCAACCACTGCACCACAGCAGAACCTGAGACAGAGCTGCATTTCTTTAAAAAATGTCAAAAATATAAAACAATTAGAGAGTGTCATTTCCCCAAATTTGAGACCCTTATTCAATGTTTCAAAGACCCCTCTGATGAGAATAGGCTACCTGTGGGCATACGTCCTCTATGCTTATTGTTATTGTTATTGTTCAATGTATGGTTATTTTGACCCTTGATTATTGTTCTACTGTTGTCCAGTTGACAATATTAATTATTATTATTTTAATTATGTTAATATTGTAAATCTCCAAAGTAAGCTTTGGCAATATGTACATTGTTACGTCATGCTAATAAAGCAAATTGAATTGAATTGAATTGAGAGAGAGAGGCAGAGAGAGAGAGAGCGGCAGAGAGAAAGAGAGAGGCAGTGAGAGAGGCAGAGAGAGAGAGAGAGGCAGAGAGAGAGAGCGGCAGAGAGAGAGAGAGAAGCGGCAGAGAGAGAGGCAGTGAGATAGAGAGAGGCAGAGAGATAGAGAGAGAGAGGCAGAGAGAGAGAGAGAGAGAGCAGAGAGAGAGAGAGGCAGAGAGAGAGAGAGAAGAGCAGAGAGAGAGAGAGGCATAGAGAGAGAGAGAGGCAGTGAGATAGAGAGCGGCACAGAGAGAGAGAGAGCGGCAGTGAGATAGAGAGAGGCAGAGAGAGAGAGAGAGAGAGAGAACAGAAAAGAGGAGTAATGAAAGAAGGCAGCCTAAAGACGTGAGAGTGGAAGAAGAGATGGTGTTTGCATCCCCTCTTTCGCTCCTTCTAAACTAACCCTCTCTTTTTCCCTCTCTCCTCTCTCTTGTATAGAGCATCCCTCTCTCTTTCCAAACCATCCCTCTCTTTCTTCAGTCCCTCTCTCCTCTCTTCCATTTCGGGAGATCTCAACGGGACCCTCCCACCCCCTTTTACCCCTCATTACTGTCACCCAAATGAAACGGGGGCTGACGCAACAGGGGTGGTGTTTGTGTGTGTGTGTATGTGTGTGTGTGTGTGAGTGTGTATGAGTGAGTGAGTGAGTGTGTGTGTGTGTGTGTGTGTGTGTGTGTGTGTGTGTGTGTGTGTGTGTGTGTGTGTGTGTGTGTGTGTGTGTGTGTGTGTGTGTGTGTGTGTGTGTGTGTGTGTGTGTGTGTGTGTGTGTGTGTGTGTGTGTGAGCGTGTGTGTGTGTGTGTGTGTGGTGGTTACCTTGGCTGAGTCAGTGACGTTGTCCCAGTAGGGAGCAGGGAAGTCCAGTCGTCCCACCAGGATCTGGTCAAACAGGTCCTCTTGAAGGTTGTCCTCACTGTAGAGAGAGACATACTATGCCGTGAACAGATGGATATTTCAGCATACACCCACACATACTGTAGTGTATACACACACACACACACTACTACATCCCATATTTTTACATCACAAATGTCCTCATTATATTCACGTCACATTCATAGACACACAGCCTCAGAATAACTCCGACACCATTGTCCTATCTATCCCCTCACTAACTGGCTGCATGCATTTTCCAATTTAGCACCAGGATTCAATTCAAGGACACACCAGAACATAACAAGAGTACCCACAGAAGAGGTACAGTAGGGGGTGGATAGGATGACTGACTATGAGACATAATAAATCTCTCCTCAGCTCTATTCTGGCAGACAATCCTCACTGCGATGACACTACTATCCAGAGACCTTGTTTATGTCTATGCCACGCTGTTAATCTATGCGAGATCACGCTTATGCTAAACCGCAGGTATAAAAAAAACATCAAATCAACTCATGTAAATTCACGTCGCCTGTATTTAAATAGCAGAATGAATGTGCGAGGGCCAGACGCCTGGGTTTACACTAAGGGCCAGACGCCTGGGTTTACACTAAGGGCCAGACGCCTGGGTTTACACTAAGGGCCAGACGCCTGGGTTTACACTAAGGGCCAGACGCCTGGGTTTACACTAAGGGCCAGACGCCTGGGTTTACACTAAGGGCCAGACGCCTGGGTTTACACTAAGGGCCAGACGCCTGGGTTTACACTAAGGGCCAGACCCCTGGGTTTACAATAAGGGCCAGATGCCTGGGTTTACACTAAGGGCCAGACGCCTGGGGTTTACACTAAGGGCCCAGACGCCTGGGGTTTACACTAAGGGCCAGACGCCTGGGTTTTACACTAAGGGCCAGACGCCTGGGTTTACACTAAGGGCCAGACGCCTGGGTTTACACTAAGGGCCAGACGCCTGGGTTTACACTAAGGGCCAGACGCCTGGGTTTACACTAAGGGCCAGACGCCTGGGTTTACCACTAAGGAAGCCGAACAGATGTGCTAGGCTAGCCCACTCAACACTTTATTTTCAGCATAAGGACTGCCTATGGGAACACTTACAGGGCATTCACGAGACCAATTAGACATTTCTAAGAGTTTTCCCAACAGTAAGGATTAAATCCCTGTTTTCTGTAGGTTAAAGTACATCCTAGACAGACTAGTAGAGGTTCAACTGTGTGAATCAGATATGAAGCAGGTAGCCAACCGTAGAATTTCTGAGATTACCATGTTAACATTAAGCGTGGTGACTGTGTAATGAACGCTAACCACATCAAGGAGCAGCCATGTTGTTGTGTAATGTACCTGAGACTATATCCATGTAGGTGTTCTGGAGGTTAAATAACATGTTGTTGTGTAGTGTACCTGCGGAAGGGAGGGAAGCCACACAGCAGGATGTAGGTGATGACCCCAGTTGCCCAGATATCCACTTTCAGACCATAACTGTGGGGAGAGAGAGAAAGAGACAGAGAGCAGAGAGCGAGAGAGAGAGGAGAGAGAGAGAAGAGAGAGAGAGAGAGAGACGAGAGAGAGTGCAGAGGAGATGACTAGATTACATGGATATTTGTAGAGTAGTTTCAGAAGCAAGAGAGAGAGTGTGTGGGCCCGATAGAAGTATGCCAGCACCCGCGATCTATAGATCATGAAGAAAAGATACCGAAGAGAGAGGAGAAGAGATAGAGGAAGAGAGACATAGACAGAAGGAGAGACTGATGTAGTGACATCAGTAGTGGGTTCAAGCTTCGACACTCGGGCTTAGTCATAGAAGTTAATGCACGATACAGCTGAGTTACCGTGAGACAGTCCATACCAGAGCGTTATGAGAAAAGAGGCACGTAGGGGGATGTTGCTGACGAACAGAGAGATGATAAAGGAGAGGATGATGAGGGCCAAAAGAAGGCCTAACAGAAGGGGAGAGAGATTAGAGAGAGAAGAGAAGAATATGAAATATGAACGTGTTGGGTTAACATCAGTGTGGGTTTCCCCTTCAGCGGCGCTAGTCACTAGAATGTTTAATGCTATCGATACAGGTGCAGGTTCCTTGAGTCGGCAGTAACTCACCCAGCCTCAGCGATGATCTCAGGGGCCACGTAGGTGGGGGTTCCACACACGGTGTGCAGGGGCCCCTCAACCACGGTGGCCAGACCAAAGTCCCCCAGCTTCAGAGACTTAGTGCCGTCAAGGTATTCACACACCTAAGGGACAGACACACAAAACATAGTTACCAACTCATGTCACCTCAATTTAAAGGCATTGTGCATTTCATTTGCAATTCATTGAGCATTTCATATGCATATCTCAAATCTCATGTCTATGTCTAGGCCACTGGTGGAACTGTCACAACATTTCTGATACATTGTAGCTAGGCAACTACTGTATGTCAATCCAACAATATGTGATCTTACAGGGTACAGTGTAGCTGGCTACCCCAGTCTTCAGTGTGGTCCCTCACTACTCACCAGCAGGTTCTCAGGCTTGATGTCTCTGTGTACTATGTTCATGTTGTGGAGGTACTTCAGGGCTCCAGCCAGGTTATACACCATAACACTGGCATCTCTCTCTGTGTACTTAGTGGAGGATGTGATGGCATCAAACAGGTCGCCACCCTGCAGGAAATGGACACATTAGACACATTAATATTGAATTAAGTATTTGATTAGGTACCTAAAATATTAATGTTGCATGCACTGATGAAGTGCAAATTACTGCTGTTGTGGGTCAGCTGTGGTTGACTAATACTGTGTAGGGCGTAGTGGTCAGTAGTGGTTGACTATATACTGTAGTGGTCAGTAGTGGTTGACTAGATACTGTAGTGGTCAGTAGTGGTTGACTAGATAGTGTAGTGGTCAGTAGTGGTTGACTAGATACTGTAGTGGTCAGTAGTGGTTGACTAGATACTGTAGTGGTCAGTAGTGGTTGACTAGATAGTGTAGTGGTCAGTAGTGGTTGACTAGATACTGTAGTGGTCAGTAGTGGTTGCCTAGCTAGTGTAGATAGTTGTAGTGTCCGTAGTGGTTGACTAGATAGTGTAGTGGTCGTAGGTTTGACTAGATAAGTGTAGTGTCAGTAGTGTTTGACTATATTACGTAGTAGTCAGTAGTGTTGACTAGATACTGTAGTGGTCGTAGTGGTGTTGACTAGATAGTGTCGTGTCAGTTTTAGTGTTTGACTGATAGTGTAGTGGTCAGTAAGTGGTTGACGAGATAGTGTAGTGGTCAGTAGTGGTTGACTTAGAGACTGTAGTGGTCAGTAGTGGTTGACTAGGATACTGTAGTGGTCAGTAGAGTGGGTGACTAGGATAGGTAGTGTCCAGTAGTGGTTGACTAGATACTGTAGTGGTCAGTCGTGGTTGACTAGATGAAGTAGTGGTCAGTAGTTGGTTGACTAGAACGTGTAGTGTCAGTCGTGATTGATAGATACTGTAGGGTCAGTAGTGGTTCAGTAGTGGTTGACTAGATACTGTAGTGGTCAGTAGTGGTTGACATAGATAGTGTAGTTAGTCAGTAGTGGTGGTTGACTAGATAGTGTAGTGGTCAGTAGTGGTTGACTAGATAGTGTAGTGGTCAGTAGTGGTTGACTAGATAGTGTAGTGGTCAGTAGTGGTTGACTAGATAGTGTAGTGGTCAGTAGTGGTTGACTAGATAGTGTAGTGGTCAGTAGTGGTGACTAGATAGGTAGTGGTCAGTAGTGGTTGATAGATAGTGTAGTGGTCAGTAGTGGTGACTAGATACTGTAGTGGTCAGTAGTGGTTGACTAGATACTGTAGTGGTCAGTAGTGGTTGACTAGATACTGTAGTGGTCAGTAGTGGTTGACTAGATAGTGTAGTGGTCAGTAGTGGTTGACTAGATAGTGTAGTGGTCAGTAGTGGTTGACTAGATAGTGTAGTGGTCAGTAGTGGTTGACTAGATAGTGTAGTGGTCAGTAGTGGTTGACTAGATAGTGTAGTGGTCAGTAGTGGTTGACTAGATAGTGTAGTGGTCAGTAGTGGTTGACTAGATAGTGTAGTGGTCAGTAGTGGTTGACTAGATAGTGTGGTAGTGTGTGGTCAGTAGTGGTTGACTAGATAGTGTAGTGGTCAGTAGTGGTTGACTAGATAGTGTAGTGGTTGACTAGATAGTGTAGTGGTCAGTAGTGGTTGACTAGATAGTGTAGTGGTCAGTAGTGGTTGAACCGTACCTTGACCAGCTCCATAACCAGGTAGAGTTCAGTGGGTGTGTCCACCTCGTCTATCAGCTGGATAATGTTGGGGTGTTTGACTCTCCTCAGCACTGCCACCTCATTCTCTATCAGGTGCTCCTGGAAAACAAACACACACACACACACACACACACACAGTGGTTAGGTATTCCACCCTGCATTATTAACCCCCCAGGCAGACAGACATGAAGTAGTTCATTGTATTGTTTTTTGATCCTGTTAATCTCATGGAATCAGATTATATATGTATCATGTTTTATTCATGTATTCTCTAATGTCAGCTGCTCTGACAGATACATGATATGCAGCACCTAGAGCTGAGAGGCTAAACCTTCAATAGAGATAGTTAAGAGACCAGGCTCCTCATGAATCCAGAACAATCAATTGTCATTTATTTGGAGTGTCCTCTTGTCTGAGTGAACAGTCTCTCTGTTGATACATGGTACTCTGTCAGCAACACTGTCTGAATGAACAGTCTCTCTGCAACACTTACATTCATTCACCACATTAAAACCTGGGTTGCTGAGCTGCTATTGGGTCAAACACGAGTCAAAATGAAAGAGACGATGCGTAGAGCGTCAGTCAGAGAGAGACGCTAGAGAGAGAGCGAGAAGCGAGAGAGAGAAGCATGAGAGAGAGAGAGCGAGAGAGGAGAGAGAGAGAGAGCAGAGAGAGCGATGGAGAAGCGAGACTCTCTCCATCTAGAGCGCTCTATCTCGCGTCTCGATCGCTATCTCTCTCTCTCTCTCTCTCTCTCTCTCTCTCTCTCTTCTCTCTCTCTCTCTCTCTCTCACCTTTCCACTGCACTTGGCCTTGTCAATGATCTTCAGTGCATACTCCTTCCCAGTGGACCTATAAAGACATACAGCAACACCTGTCCTTCAAATCATGGTATATTGTATTTACTGTAAATCCTTCAAACCAACCCAAAACACATGCAACCATCTGTTTGAAACCAATAGTTTGAAAGTCACTTTTAATAGATTAGCCAGCCTTGTTTCATCAACTGAACTACGATTATAAGTTATATCCAACAGTAGACTGATCAGTGTTGCAGCCTCATCATATGCTGAAACATCAGACAGTGCGTGACAGTGTATTGGAGCGTCTAGCCTTCTGATTAGAGGGAGGAGTCTTCTCTCTGTACATTACAGACAAACTGCTGAGTCAGAAGGGAAACGCTAATGAAGTGGATTTAATGGGCTGAACCCCACGCATGCACGCACGCACACAGAGACTTCTCTGACAGTAAATTGCATAGCTAAATTTACATTTACATTTTAGTCATTTAGCAGACGCTCTTATCCAGAGCGACTTACAGTTAGTGAGTGCATACATCTTTCATACTGGGCCCCCCGTGGGAATCAAACCCACAACCCTGACGTTGCAAGCGCCATGCTCTATCAACTGAGCTACACAGGGCTAAATGCTATAAATGCCTGCTGTCATTAAGCCTTAGAAGCCTGAACGGAGCAGTTATGACATGTGACGTAGCGCTTATTAAGCCACATTGAAAGATACTTATCAACGTGGTAATTTATAAATCGGGCTTTTTAAAGGTCTTTTACAGCCTAGTGAACATTCCTTACAAATATGAAAGTACAAATTGGTATGCTATGAAACTTATTTTACGGTCAAGCGAGGACAAGTAAAAATTAAAACAAGGTTTTAAATCCATCAATGAGACGTAAAAGAAATGTAATTGAATTCTTAATTACATACCGTTCCACACAGTCTTTCACCACTGCAAAGTTTCCGTCTCCTATGACCTTGCCGACCTTGTATTTTTCCAGGATGGTTGTGGTAGAGCTACAGCTGTTGCCGTTAACTGATGAGGAGAGACATGTTACAACAGCGCACATCAGAATGCTCTTTCAGTTACTGCCAGTGGCCCTCATATATACACTGAGTGTACAAAACATTAAGAACACCTTCCTAATATTGAGTTGCACCCCCCCCCCCTTTGCCCTCAGAACAGACTCAATTCGTCAGGTCAACGACTCTACAAGGTGAAGGAAGCGTTCCACAGGGATGCTAGCCCATGTTGACTCCAATGCTTCCAACAGTTGTGTCAAGTTGGCTGGATGTCTTTTGGGTGGTGGACCATTCTTGATACACACGGGAAACTGTTGAGTGTGAAAAACGCAGCAGCGTTGCAGTTCTTGACACAAACCCGTGCGCCTGGCACCTACTACCATACCCCGTTCAAAGGCACTTAAATATTTTGTCTTGCCCATTCACCCTCTGAATGGCACACATACACAATCCATGTCTCAATTGTCCCAAGGCTTAAAAATCCTTATTTAACATGTCTCTTCCCCTTCATCTACACTGATTTGAAGTGGATTTAACAAGTGACATCAATAAGGGATCATAGCTTTCACCTGGATTCACCTGGTCAGTCTATGTCATGGAAAGAGCAGGTGTCCTTAATGTTTTGTACACTCAGTGTAGAATGACGCACAATACCTACAAGTACTTACTCTGGTAAAACTTGCATTGCAGTGAAATGAATATGATCTTGTTGGATTTATAAAACAAACCTTTCCACAATTTATGTTAAGACAAAGCTGTTGAAATACAGGATCAATACGTTTTAGTCTAATCAAAGTATAAACTCATGAATTGTCCATTATCCCAGGCTGCCTAGCTACTAGCCTAGATCTAGTCTCTGGCCACTCCTAAAGAGGGACCAGTAATATTATGCAGACACACAGCCCAAGGACGTTTAGTTTTGTTACAGCCTGGCTGTCTCATGCAACAGCACACAGCTTTTCTCACTCGTCCTTTTCTCACTCGTCCGCATCACACTTCCGTCCCTCTATTGTGAGTGCTGCGGCTTGTGTCGCTGAGTAAGCAATTCTAATATAACACTGTGAACCTACATTGACGCCCTAGGGGGATTGGGGATGCGTTGGTGAAGTGTTTTGAGAAAGTTGAGGGAACGTTAGGGCCACGTGTTTAGGGGTGAGTGAGTGCAGGCAGGAGCTGTGAGAGTTGGCACGGAGACAGTATGACACAGGGTAAAGAGAAGAGAGCAACAGAAGAAGGGAGGAGAGGAGAGGAGAGGAGAGGAGAGGAGAGGAGAGGATGAGGAGAGGGAGAGGAGAGGAGAGGATAGGAGGGAGGTGGGGGGAGAGAGGAGAGGAGAGAGAGGAGAGGAGGGAGAGGAGAGGAGAGGAGAGGAGAGGGAGGAGGAGCAAGGGAAGGAGGGAAGGAAGGAAGGGAAGGGAAGAGGAAGGAAGGGAAGGGAAGGGAGGGAAGGGAAGGGAAGGGAAGGGAAAGGGAAGGGAAGGGGAAGGAGGGAAGGGAAGGAAGGGAAGGGAGGGAAGGGAAGGGCAGGGAAGGACGGGAAGGGAAAGGGAAGGAAGAGAGGAGAAGGGGAGGAGAGGAGAGGAAGGAGGGGAGGAGGGAGAGGAGATGAGAAGAAGAAGAGGGAGAGGAAGAGGAGAGGAGGAGGAGAGGAGGACGCTGAGGAGAGAGAGGAGGAGAGGGAGGGATGAGAGGAGAGGAGAGGAGAGCGAGAGGAGAAGGAGAGGAGCGGAGAGGAGAGGAGGATGGGAGGAGAAGAAAAGAGAGGGAAGGGAGGAGAGGGAGAGGAGAAGAGAAGAGAGAGAAGAGAAGAGAAGAGAAGAGAAGGAAGAGAAGAGAAGAGAAGAGAAGAGACTGAAGAGCGAAGAGAAGAGCCGAGAGAAGAGAAGAGAGAGGCGAAGAGAAGAGAGGAGAGAAGAGAAGAGAAGAGAAGAGAAGAGAAGGAAAGAGAAGAGAGAGAAGAGAGAACAGAAGAGAGAGAAAAGAAGAGGAGAGGAAGAGAAGAAGAGAAGAGAAGAGAAGAGAAGAGAAGAGAAGAGAAGAGAGGAGAGGAGAGGAGAGGGTAAGGGAGGGTGGAGAGGAGAAGGGGGGGATGTGGACAGGAGTGGCGAGGCAAGGCAAGGAGGAGGAGGAGAGAGGAGAAAGGAAATGAAGAGAATTTAAGAGAAGAGAAGGGGACACCTACCCTCAGGACTCATGTTATTGGCCTTCTCCAGACTGTGTGAAGACCCGTTCACATTGGTGGCAGACATGTGATGTGGCGGAATCTGGAAACGAGGAGAGAAAGAAAGTAAGAGATGAAGAGAGGAGGGAAGGAGAGAGAAAAACAGAGGTCAGCATCCTCCCCTTTTCAGCCACCCCTCAAGTCAAAACCTGGACACATGCATCATCATGGCAACTATAAGTATCAAATATGGTACACACAATGGATTAGAGGTCAAGCTTAGCTAGGCACAATTGGTAGGTCCAATGGTTTGTTTTGACATCAATACTAGCAGGGCAATCGAATTAGCCAATTACATCTCTAGAGTACTACCACACGATACGTCCGCTTCATAGCATCGATCCAGAACTACGCCGTGGGATCTAGGGACATTGACTAATGGTTTTGCTTTAAGTAGCATGCATTTGAAATCCAATATAATGCCATGACAGAGTGTGACAGGATAACTAGCTCATGGATCCCCTTAGTGTATTATAGTGCTTCAGAGTTCTGACAGGAAACTAATACAAAAACACCCTCGCTTCAAAATGGTGTAGTTTGGTACTGGCCCTGTTTGTTTTTTTTACCCCTCTTATATCTTGTGGTTTTTTGTTATACTATTTTGATATTGAATACTGCACTGTTGGGAAGGGCTTGCAAGTTAAGCATTTCACTGTACTTGTGCGGGCCTAATTAATTAATTTAAATTGACTGATTTCCTTATGTGAACTGTAACTCAGTCAAATCTTTGAAATTGTTGCATGTTGCATTTATATTTTTGTTCAGTATAGTTTGGTAAGAAAATGTTTGATATTAGACTTTATAATTCATTATTAGATAGGTAGCTCAATGGAAAGATAGAAGCCGATTCTATAAAAACACGTCTCTTCTGAATTGCTCTAAAAGTTCTCCCTTCTGTGGATGTTATGTGCCTACCCAAACACAAAAGTGAGCAGCTATTTATATCACGGTGTTAATGATGCATTTGGCGTAAAATAAGTGAACAGTAAAATAAGTGAAAAGTACAGGGTGTTAAGTACTATCATAATGGATAGGCCTCCCCTACTGAGTCACTTATCAGGCAGAGACAGAGGAAACACAAACTTTAATGGATTGAAATGATGAATAATGTTGAAAATAATGAATAATTTGACGAGAGGCTTTTTCCAAAAGAGACAGCTGTGATGGCTGTTTGAATGGGTTATTATAAGACTGCTTTTTCAAGCATTCTTGGCTTTCACATGCAACAGATTCCGCCAAGTCATCCAAGTAATCTTTTCTATTATGGAAGAGAAGATCTTTCAACTCTTTCAACACTGCTAGAAGTACATGGACCATAAGGCTTATTTCTTGTACCTGGACTGAAGGAATGGATGCATTATTTAGTACAGTGCATAAAGGAGGAAGCAAGGTGGTGAAACACCTTTGAACTTGGTGGATTACATCCTCAATCTTCATCAATCTTTTTTTTTCAATACATTATTTTGTGATGTCTTCAGAGTAACTAAGTTCTATCAAACGACATGGACCTGTCAAGTAAACATGGTGTAACTGTTGCCAAACGGTAATAATGATCTTGAGAAAGTTGATGTGCTGTTGTCTCCACTGTCAACAGATTCAAGCATTTTGGTTACCTGGCCAACCACTATTCCTGATCTAGTGCACTTGAGGTTAAATCATTTGCTACTATATGGTTATTTATAGCATATGCCAAAATATACAATCACTCTTCCCATATGGGTACATACAGAACAATAGCACTATCTGGAGATTACAGGTGGTTTGTGTGTGACACGGTGTGTGTGTGTGACTCACCTTGAAGCTGTGTATACTGCGGGGGCTGGTGGGGGAGGAGCTGTTGGATTTGGTGGACTTGGGGGTGGAGATCGTACTGCTGGGGACTCCATTGACTGGAGAGGAGAGAGAGAGCGAGGGAGGAGAGAGAAAAGAGGGAAGGAGAGAGGGAGGAAGCCATAGTAAGACAATGATAGGGCTAGGGCTGGCCCAACAGGAAGTGCTGAGGTGGGGAAAGGGCAAACGAGAGAGGAAGTCCTTTTTCCTTTTTCCTCTGGAGAGATGTGGCTGTTTAAAAGTGTATTACTCTTATTACATTGTGTATTTTATTGTTCTTAATTTCTTTACTGCTAAAGGAAATGCCTCTCTCTATCACAGGAAGTGATATACGACAGGGCAGGAAAACTATTTGTGACACAACAAAGTTCACTTTGAATGGGTTTACTTTCACTCAGTTGACAAAGATCTGTACTAACAGTCGCATTCAAGTCCATCACCTTTCTTTAAGACTGAGTGCTAGATTTTTCATTCAGGTGTAGTGTGGCGTTTCGTGTCTAGAACTGTGTGTGACTGTGTCCAACTTCCTGCCCGGACCCCTGTGGGAGGAAGCAGGTTGTGTTTGGCTCCAACAGATAGACACGCAGGGTCACCCCAGGTGCGTCCTCAGGCTGCCTGGATAATCTGTTTTCAGCTAAGGCTACACGGAAGCTACGACCCTGAAGGTTCAAGGGTACCTCAAGCAGCCTACCTCTAGGAACCTCCCTGTGTCACAGACAGTCCTCTCCTCAAACAACAGGGCCAGGCATTGACTTTCTTTGGAGAAGTCGACTGTATTGGTAATAGTACAGTGTGTTTCTGTGAAAGGCCTCATCTGCCACACACTCTAGGTTCTTGGCAGGTACACTGCCACACTGCGGCATGCTGTACCCATTCCCTGAGATAACCAATCTGGACCTGCTAACAACAATCAGAATCACCAATACAGTACAGTACCTACTTGAGAGATGGAATGCGATGCCAGACAACTCTTATGTCTCCTGATGTGAGAATTAAATTAAATTAGAAGGCCTCAGTGAAAGCAGATGAAGACTAAAGCACTGAGGCTAATTTAGTACATGGGTTTGTATCAGCCGGCCCTGCACCAGTCTGTGCTCAGATTAGATGCATGCTGTAGAGAGAGAGTTTCTGGGGCTGGGCCAGGAAGAGAGAGGAGAGAGAGGGAGAGGAGAGAGAGATAAAAAAATAGAGAGAAGAGAAAGAGCAAGAGCCAGCGAAAGAGACGGTGAGAAAGAGAGTGCGATATCCAGAGATCTTTAAATAGTCTTAGGTCAGAATGGCAGGCCAGGGAGGTCCACAGTGGAGCAGAGCTCTTTCAGAATAATTGATGGCACTTCCCTACACAGCAGGAGGCTGGAGGCTAGAGGCCATGCAGGCATCAGAGGGGAGCTGCCTGACTGACATTACAATATACTGTACTGTACTGAGAGAGACTAACTGGACCTCTCACAGGGCCCCATCAGCCACGAGGTCAACCTTAGGCCAAGGGTGCACTGACCAAGACAGAGACATTCTACTCGAAGCTGTCAGGAACTCCAAAAGGGTTTTAATTGGTGCCCTCTCTGAGAAAGACTAATGTAGTGATTATTGTTAACATATTGTGGTGATGATTCGGGCCAGGAGTTATTCCTGGTTAGGCTACGTCCTTAGGGGAAAACTCAAGGTCCTAGTAATGATAGCTGGCTAGATGAAAATGAATGTTGTTGTGGTAGGCTAATGTGTTATGGGCCAACAGAGTGGGCAGTGCAGGATGTTAACAGGCTTACCTGGGGATTTAACAGGAGACTGACTACTGGTGGAGTAATGGATTGGTCTTCTTACTGCAGAAAGAGAGAGAGAGAGAGAGAGAGAGAGAGAGAGAGAGAGAGAGAGGGGGGGGGGGGAGGGAAAGAGAGGGGAGGGGGGGGGGGGGAAAGAGAGGGGAGAGGGAAAGAGAGGGAAAGAAAAAGAGACGAGAGGGAAAAGAGAGAGAGAAGAAAATAGTAAAACATTAATTATTCTAAACTCTGGTGTAATACAGTACTGACTTTCCTAGAATGTTTTGTTTATTTTTACAACTTGAGGTTTCAAAGTCCAACTTAAAGCCCCAAAATCAATTTTTAACTGAGCTTAAGATAAATGTTCGGTAAATTGGCCATATGGCCTGTAGCCTGCCAAAATCCTGAAACCTTTTGTTAGATGCTATTATGACACCATGAACACAGAGGAGGTACCAACCAGCTGTGGCCAATTGGAGACAAATAATGACCTGAAATGACTCCCTACCCTATTGCCTATTCCCTATAAAGTGGACGTGACCCAAGCCTGTTATTGGAGCAGACCCCATGTGCGATTCTGTTTACTACTATGCTAGCTACTGTACCATGCAAGGTTGTTTACTTGCAGTGTTGACTTTTTATATCGTTCCCCAAACCGTGTTTGGATTTGACACTGTTCTCGACAATTGAGTCTGACAGTACAACGGCCCCTTGGGACTCCTGTAAGACACTGTGGAAAGACTTTAGAGCTGTAAAGAGGTACCTAGACCAAACACTTTTGGGGAAAGACCTAATTCTTCAAATGGAGCATGGCAGGGGAAGTAGGACAAGGAAGAGCTAAAACAACTGAAGAACAGATTCAGCTGAAGAAATCCTGAAACCTTTTGACGTGATTACTTTGTAAAACAGTAGTTAATGGCAGATGAAAATCAGTTACTCAGTCCATCACCCACTAACTGTGTTTGTGTGTGTATACCTATGCCAGGGGACTTGATACGGCGTGAGAGTCCAGGGCTCTTGCTCCCAGCAGCCCTCGTTGGAGTGGGCGAGCGGGCAGAGTATGATGACTTGAGCACCCGGCATTCTGTGAAGACAACACACACAGGGTTAAAACCACTCACACACACACCGACCTCATTTCCTATCTAGCACAATTCAATACAGTTCCAAGTGTTCCAGTCAAACTAGTCTAAATTAGCTCCAGCTAGGAACTTACATCACACTCATGCACAGTTCAGTCCCATCCTCCACCGCCCCATTCATGCTCAATACCCACATATCCATGTTATGATGTGGATACTGTGGGTTGTATTGGACTTTAGCCAAACACAGAGGAGAGGAGTGGAGGAGGAGGAGGAAGAGTGGAGGAGGAAGAGTGGAGGGGGAAAAGAATGATAGAGGAAACACTTCAGTGAATGAATGAATAAATAGATGGATGAATGAATAGATGGATGAATGAATGAATAGATGGATGAATGAATGAATAGATGCATGAATGAATAGATGGATGCATAATAATACTAGCCTGAAATCCAAACTGAACATGGTGATACGGTAGTGAAATGGAGTGATATTCAGTGAGGATTTCAGGCTGTAATAACAGCCTAATATTGGGTCTAATCAGTTGTGGAGAAGTGTCACTACAGAACACAAAGCCAGAGCACTGAAATGAAACAGCCTAAAATCACGTCCTTATTATGTTATATTATGTGCAGCGCTGTAGAGCAGCATAATATCATTGGCTCTCTTTGAGAAAGCCCTAAGTATGGAGTGTTCAAGAAGTTAAGGACGTTTAATTCACACAGAGCTTCCCACAACACTCAGTTAAGCGTCTGCTTTTTCCAAACAAACACCTCGTGTGCAGTCGTCTGTGGCTCTGTGCGCGCCATAAATCCATGGAAAATTCCCAAGCTGTGGTAATTACGCTATCGTGTTTGCTGCCTGCTGTGCTGCTCCCAAAGCTGTTGCGTTAGGAGCGTTTCACAGAGGTGCATGCACAGACAGACAGACTGACAGGGCTGCATGCAGGAGCAGCAGGTGGCGGGGTAATGAGGTTGGTGGTTCAACTGTTTTAGTGGTGTTGCACAGACACACAAAGCAATGGAGGCTGCTGAGGGGAGGACGGCTCATAATAATGGCTGGAACGGCGCAACGGAATGGTATCAAACACATGGAAAACATGTGTTTAATGTATTTGATGCCATTCCACCTATATACCGCTCCAGCCGTTACCACGAGCCCGCCCCTCCCCCATTCATGGTGCCACCAACCGCCTGTGATACAGAGCTGTTTTAGCAGCTTTGACAACAGACAGAGCGAGCTGCGTTCAGGCGCAGCATATGACTGGTTACTGTAATGAGACTGGTGGTTAAACTGTCAGGGTTCATGTCAGATGGTGTTAATCGGGGGGTGTTACAGTGTTAGATGCTATTATGACACCATGAACACAGAGGAGGTACCAACCAGCTGTGGCCAATTGGAGACAAATAATGACCAGGAGTGCGTCTGAAATGACTCCCTACCCTATTGCCTATTCCCTATAAAGTGGGCGTGACCCAAGCCTGTTATTGGAGCAGACCCCATGTGCCATTCTGTTTACTACTATGCTAGCTACTGTACCATGCAAGGTTGTTTACTTGCAGTGTTGACTTTTTATATCGTTCCCCAAACCGTGTTTGGATTTGACACTGTTCTCGACAATTGAGTCTGACAGTACAACAGCCCCTTGGGACTCCTGTAAGACACTGTGGAAAGACTTTAGAGCTGTAAAGAGGTACCTAGACCAAACACTTTTGGGGAAAGACCTCATTCTTCAAATGGAGCATGGCAGGGGAAGTAGGACAAGGAAGAGCTAAAACAACTGAAGAACAGATTCAGCTGAAGAAACTAAACACAAACAGTGTTTACACCTGTGTGTGTGTGTGTGTGTGTGTGTGTGTGTGTGTGTGTGTGTGTGTGTGTGTGTGTGTGTGTGTGTGTGTGTGTGTGTGTGTGTTAAATATGCACTATGCAGAAATCCTTCTGCCATTTCCTGGTTGCTAAAATTATATTTTCAGTTTATGTGACAAAACAAGCAAGTATAGTGTAGATCTATACCTCACATTCCTATGAATTTCATCGGGTCGCCCAAAAAGTGACATATTGCAGCTTTAAAATGTTATGTTACAGGAGCAAGACTAAGTTATGAAAACAGGATGTACCTTGGGAATAGTTTGGAGAGGTGTCTAGAATTAGCCTGTTGGTTTCCCCATGAGGTTTGGATATTATATACAGTACATCTTGTCCTGTCTCCACCTTATCTAGCACAGAGGATAGGGGACTGCAGAGGAGTTGTACTGACATCGGCCTGCTTAAGATAACAATGGGTTAGCTATGGCCTAAAGAGGCCATATCCTGCTGCAGTAGGGGCTATCGCTGCGGACATCTTTTAAGTGATTTTCAAGAACGTCTTCTTCTCAACATGGGGTAGTATGTACACACAATGATATTCACTGTAGCACCCTGGAATGGAATGTACTACTACAACTACACCATACAAAATGTGACTGCAGCCACTTTCCCCTACAGAAGGCAGGAATCTGTGTGTGTTCAGACCGATAATCTCACACATAATCGATAGTCTCCTCCTCTTGGACGAGAGGAATGAATTAAGATATTGAGTGATGATTACATTATATTAGAGTCATGATTAAGTGTCACGAGTCACTGGAACCACTTTCAGAACAATTATAAGTCTCATTCAACGGAGAAAATAAACGTTCACTATTGTATGGTTGACAGATAATTATCATGTTACACCTTTCAGACGCACTTCATCCTGACTTCTAGTATGAAAAGGGGAAAGAGGTTTGGCATTGACATCTCTTTAGGGAAGTTACACTATACTATGAGAGAGAAAAAGGAGGGGTGCGTCCAAACTGGCACCCTATTCCCGATATAGTACACTGCTTTTCACCAGAGCCCTATGGAGGCTCCATATGGAATAGTGTGCGATTTCTATGACCTTTATTTAACTAGGAAGTCCCATTGAGGTCAGAAGACCTCTTTGCAGAGGGAGACCTGGCATTTCCCACGCACCCTATGAAGGAAATAGGAAGGAAAGAGGGAGGAAAGGGACGGGACTCAGAGAGACCATAGAAATATAGACACTAGAACAGGAATCTACATCCATTTCTATGAGAGAGCGAGAGAGAGAGAGACACCAAGGTTTCACAACATACAGGTGATGTTAGATTGAGTTAGTCAGGCCTTCCAGTCACAAAGGCTACGGAAGCCTTACCACTGTTATCCAACAGGAAGTCATCCTGCGCGTAGCGGTACTTCTCTGGTCCGCACGCAATGAACACGTCGTCCTCGCCGAAGAAGTCCTGGAGACAGGTGATCTGGAGAGAGAGAGAGAGGGAGGGAATGAGAGAAAGGGTGACAGAAAGAAGAAGTTTAGCTAGAAGAGGAATCATGTGTAGGTCCTTGAGTTTAGAGGAAAAACTCTGGGCACTAGTTATAGAAATACATTGAGGGAAAAAAGTATTTGATCCCCTGCTGATTTTGTACGTTTGCCCACTGACAAAGAAATGATCAGTCTATAATTTTAATGGTAGGTTTATTTGAACAGTGAGAGACAGAATAACAACAAAAAAATCCAGAAAAACGCATGTCAAAAATGTTATAAATTGATTTGCATTTTAATGAGGGAAATAAGTATTTGACCCCCTCTCAATCAGAAAGATATCTGGCTCCCAGGTGTCTTTTATACAGGTAACGAGCTGAGATTAGGAGAACACTCTTAAAGGGAGTGCTCCTAATCTCAGTTTGTTACCTGTATAAAAGACACCTGTCCACAGAAGCAATCAATAAATTAGATTCCAAACTCTCCACCATGGCCAAGACCAAAGAGCTCTCCAAGAATGTCAGGGACAAGATTGTAGACCTTCACAAGGCTGGAATGAGCTACAAGACCATCGCCAAGCAGCTTGGTGAGAAGGTGACAACAGTTGGTGCGATTATTCCCAAACGGAAGAAATACAAAAGAACTGTCAATCTCCCTCGACCTGGGGCTCCATGCAAGATCTCACCTCGTGGAGTTGCAATGATCATGAGAACGGTGAGTAATCAGCCCAGAATTACACGGGAGGATCTTGTCAATGATCTCAAGGCAGCTGGGACCATAGTCACCAAGAAAACAATTGGTAACACACTACGCCGCGAAGAACTGAAATCCTGCAGCGCCCGCAAGGTCCCCCTGCTCAAGAAACGTCTGAAGTTTGCCAATGAACATCTGAATGATTCAGAGGAGAACTGGGTGAAAGTGTTGTGGTCAGATGAGACCAAAATGGAGCTCTTTGGCATCAACTCAACTCGCCGTGTTTGGAGGAGGAGGAATGCTGCCTATGACCCCAAGAACACCATCCCCACCGTCAAACATGGAGGTGGAAACAATATGCTTTGGGGGTGTTTTTCTGCTAAGGGGACAGGACAACTTCACCGCATCAAAGGGACGATGGACGGGGCCATGTACCGTCAAATCTTGGGTGAGAACCTCCTTCCCTCAGCCAGGGCATTGAAAATGGGTCGTGGATGGGTATTCCAGCATGACAATGACCCAAAACACACGGCCAAGGCAACAAAGGAGTGGCTCAAGAAGAAGCACATTAAGGTCCTGGAGTGGCCTAGCCAGTCTCCAGACCTTAATCCCATAGAAAATCTTTGGAGGGAGCTGAAGTTTCGAGTTGCTAAACGTCAGCCTTGAAACCTTAATGACTTGGAGAAGATCTGCAAAGAGGAGTGGAACAAAATCCCTCCTGAGATGTGTGCAAACCTGGTGGCCAACTACAAGAAAAGTCTGACCTCTGTGATTGCCAACAAGGGTTTTGCCACCAAGTACTAAGTCATGTTTTGCAGAGGGGTCAAATACTTATTTCCCTCATTAAAATGCAAATCAATTTATAACATTTTTGACATGCGTTTTTCTGGATATTTTTGTTGTTATTCTGCCTCTCACTGTTCAAATAAACCTACCATTAAAATTATAGACTGATCATTTCTTTGTCAGTGGGCAAACGTACAAAATCAGCAGGGGATCAAATACTTTTTTCCCTCAATGTACTGTGGGCCCTAGCAAGACATCTTCTAAAGGTTTGTCTAATGGGGTGTACCCATACCATGCATCTCTGTGGAGAATCAACTCATTTCATTATGAAAACAGTAGTTCATCCACCATTTAATATGCCGACGGAAGCCGAATGGGAATCCAATCGTTTCACATCCTATTGTACACACTACTGCATCATCTCTGTGTGAACATCCCACTCTCCAGGACATAGTCGTTTCAGATGATTCTACTAAACATCACAATTATATTATAGCTGAATCCCACTCTGGCAGAACTGGGGGAGAAAAAGGGGCCATTATTATAATACATGTCATGTTGTTGGAGACTGAGGAAGGATGTCTGTCATATTTCATTATTTTGCGCCCATCACTGTGTGTGTGTGTGTGTGTGTGTGTGTGTGTGTGTGTGTGTGTGCATGAGCGCGTGCATGTGTGTGTGTGTGTGTCGCGGGATGCTGACGGCTCGCTCGAACAGCCCAATTAAAATCTGTCTGTGATGTGATGGCTCTTTCATGGTTGCTAAGCTCAGTGCCACAGAGGACGAGGCAACACTTTACAGCTTACAGCAAAGAGCTGAGGGTCAAAATATCACAACAATAAAGTACTGCAGAGTCAAAATACACTGTCATGTGAGGAAATCACTGCAGCAAGCATTTCTGTTGCCAGGCAATTTCTTTCTCTCTATCTCTCTCTTTCACCTTCAATCTCCATTTTGTCTTCTCTCCACCTCCAGGTTAGTGTTTTTCGTCATGAATCTTGCCCTGGAGGCAGCTCTACAGACTGGTCACTAGCTGGCACAGCCACAGTCATAAAATATGATTTTAAACCTAACCCTAACCACACTGCTAACCCTAATGCCTAACCCTAACCTTAAATTAAGACTAAGAAGCTAATTTGTGTTTTTATGAATTTTTGCAATATAGCCAATTTTGACTTGCAGCTGGCCCATCTAGCAGAAATCGCACAGTTCTGCCTCCAGGGCAAGATTCATGACAATAAACGTCAACCTGCCTTCCACCTCTCCTTTCTCTCACGTAATATCTATAGCTACCATGATTTATCACACCATGATTTAGCACACCGTGATTTAGCACAACATGATTTAGCACACCATGATTTAGCACACCGTGATTTAGCACAACATGATTTAGCACACCATGATTTAGCCCACAAAGCAGAGGGAGTTGCTCCTACATTACTTATCCATACACACTAGCTCCTCTGCAGTACTGTGGTAGTGCATTCAGCCCAGGCAGGCAGGGAGTATCAGTGGGTGGACAGGCAGGAAGGGGATTCGTTCATCATCATCATCATCATCATCTCACCCCCACACATCCCACTCATACCCTGGGAGAGAGGAGAGAAGAGAGGGGTGGACGGGTTGGAGCCAGTTCGGTAGGCAGATGGGAAAATGGGACCGCCACAGAAGCTTGGGGGTTGAAGCAGTGGAAGAGGGTGTGTAAGTGGTGGGCCTGGACTCTGGGGCAGATGGAGAGCAGTCTGCTGGAGGACCTTTAAATATGCCAACTCAAAACAGCAACAGCCACCATAACAGCCTGACCAAAATCCTCTTACAATACAGATTCCAAATCTCCTCCGTCCCCACACATCATTTTTAGGGCTCAGCCAGAAACTCTGTCAATCTGACTTAATACATGAATGGATGACTTGACTTGGCAGTGTGTTGTGAGGCAGAATCTAAATCAATAACCATTGGAGGCTGAGAGAGAGGGGGGGGGGGCAAGGAAAGGAGAGGAAAGGAGAGGAGACAGAGACAAACAGAGAGACAGAGACAGACAGAGAGACAGAGACAGACAGAGAGACAGAGACAGAGAGCAGAGAGGTGAGAGGATGCGTGTGTGTTTGGCAGGCAGTGGCTCTTTGGTGGCATAGCTGGAATGGCTGCCATTCCTCAGCCGAGATCACTCACACTGAGCTGCTGATAACCCGGACAACCAGCCATATGTTGGCATCGTCATGGCGATGGCTCTAAGACCGGGAGCAGTAGACATTGTTGGAACGCTTCAGCTGCCTTTGTTGATCTTTCCCATTGGATTAATGCTTTCACAACACATATGTAACAAACAGGCTACTGGTCCTATGAGATGTGATAGTGTACATGCACCATGGATTAAGTCCAGTACCATGAGTACATTGTTAACGAAAAGGACAAACCATATAAGCTAATGTCGTAAGCTGCTCAGTGGTACTGCCAAGTATTAGTATTTTATTAGGATCCCCATTTGCTGCTACTAACACAGCAACTACTTTTCCTGGGGTCCACACAAAACCCACTACAGACTCAAGTAAAATAAAAAAATAAAAAAGCTAAAATAAGATGGTGACCTAAGACTGCCCTATAGTTAAGCCACAGTAAATATGCAGACTCACAGTGACACGTCAAATATTCTCAGAATCTAACGCCATAAGCTGACATAATAGTGAAGTTCAGAACACTGCAGACCTAGGGTTTTAAAAGCCAGTAGTTTTCCATCCATCCAGGGCTGAGTTGTGTACAGTCCAGACAGAGTCTGCATTATGGGGACACAGTACAGCGTGTGACAGAGTCTGCATTATGAGGAAACGGTGCGTGACAGCCAGCAGCCTCAGACTGCTGAGGTGGCCTTGTCACGGTGTCCCCTGCCTGGGTACAGGCCAGTGGGGATGACAGCAGCAGACAAGACGTTGGTGACAGCGCGGGGGAGAAATCTCTGGGATCTGGAAAAGCAATACGACACTATTATGGGTACAACCACACAACACAAGCTCAACACTTTCACTTTCACACAGACATTTGACAATTTGACCACAGAAGAGGTACTAGTTAGTCTCTTCTGACTTCACCTTTTAGTTGTCAGAGAGGAGGAGAGTGAATTAGCCAGGGTCATTTCGTATTGCCCCTATTGCCCGGTTGATTGCCACCTGGGAAATCACTGTGGCGACCCCACAGTGGGGCGATGTGATTGTCCAGGAGGCTTCAGGCCTGGCTACCATCGTGGCAGGGGAAGCTGTTTTTCCATTAATGCCACCACCCCCTTCCTCCCCGAGGCTGAATAGGACTACTGTAGGTCATTTCAGCTGGCCTGTGGTTCCCAGGAGGCCAAGGAGAGATGGAGATAAGGGGGATACACTCACAGAGTTTTGGAAAGAGAGAGAGGAGAGAAAGCAGGGATAAGAGAGGTCTTTAAACAAGGTTGTTTACAAAATGTCTGCTCCTACAGCTTGCCAGAAGAAGCACAGTCCAAATTTTGCCGATTACATCCTCTGGAGAGCATCCTCTCTAAGTGCATACTGAGGCCATGGTACCGTCTGGGGGAATAGTAGTGAACAGATGAATAAGGCAGGATAAGGATGTCAGACCTCATAGTCCATGTTGGTGTTTGTGTTCCCTTGACAACCGCTGCCAGGTTCAACAACAGCCAATGGCACACAGACCCTGTCAGGTTGGATTAGTCCTATACGGGAGATGAATCGTTTGGGGGAGGGGAGGGTGGGGGATCTTGAGGCTGTGTGTCTTTGGTGAGTGTGTGTGTCTTTGGTGTGTGTGTGCGTGTGTGTGTGTGTGTCTGTCTGTCTGTCTGTCTGTCTGTCTGTCTGTCTGTCTGTCTCTGTGTTTCTTTGGGGTGACATCTGTAACCTCAGTTTGACCTCCCATCTCACACAAGTTTGTCTTACCTTATCTTGCTCTCTGTCTATCTCTCTCTGCCTCTGTCTTCCCATCTCTCCTATTCTGCCCTGGCCGACCCAGCAACAGAGAAATATGGGTTGAAGACTTGGGGGGGGGGGGGACACACCACCTAAACAGCTGTTGTTGTATGAGGAAGTCAGAACTATAATATCTGAACTGACTTGATATTTAAATTAATGACTGTTTACTAGTGGTTCAATTATGAGGTTGGCTATAAAATAAAAATGTCAATGGATTAAAACATCAAACAGGATGCTGTCATTACTTGCTAGAAGACAGCCTGTTTGGAAAACCATGAAAAAAAGACAAGACATTGCTCGTCCTAATATTTATATTTCTTAATTCCATTATTTTACTTTTAAATATGTGTCTATTGTTGTGAATTGTTAGATATTACTGCACTGCTGGAGCTAGGAACACAAGCATTTTGCTACACCCGCAATAACATCTGCTAAATATGTGTATGCGACCAAAAACATTTGATTTGATTTGACATTGATGTGAGCTAAAATATCCCTTTCACCCAATGAAGAATTGGGCTAAATAATCCCCAAAAGGGACGTGGACTCTGACTGAACAGACAGATGTGAAGGCCATTGAGCTAATAACCACTGTGGGACAGAAATAATCCTACCCAGCTCTCATACAGTACAAGCTATGTAGAACATCACAAGACCTTTTGCATCTTGAAACGGAGCTGAAATGTCATCACTCTTTCACAGAGAAAAAGATATTCATCAACTGAAAAGCAAGAGAGCACTTCTTACATAAGGTGAGTGGAGTAGACTAGGCTACATCTCTTGATCGTTGCTTACTGCCCTTTCCATAATGAAGGTGGTAGTGGGTCGATTAGTGGGTGTACTCTGAGGCGCTGCAGGGGGACTGAGGATGAAAGTATAGATCCCCATTATCATCATCACAGGCCTGACAGCCCATTCGCTGTAATCATGGGGTACCGTCCTCCCAGCACACACACACACACACACACACACACACACACACACACACACACACACACACACACACACACACACACACACACACACACACACACACACACACACACACACACACACCACCCCCGTCGTGTCAGCCCCCATTTCATTTGGGTGACAGTAATAAGGGTTAAAAGGGGGTGGGAGGGTCCCGTTGAGATCTCCCAGAATGGAAGAGAGGAGAGAGGGAGTGAAGAAAGAGAGGGATGGTTTGGGAGAGAGAGATGATTTATGCAGGAGAGAAGAGAAAGGAGAGAGGGAGGGAGGGGAAAAGAGGGGGATAGTTTAGAAGGAGCGAGAGAGAGGGATGCTGGCCTTCAGCAAGGTCGTAGTAGCGTACTGCAATGCACAGCACCATGGAACAGGAGTCAGGACAGAGTGCATTGTGGGATATTGGGGTTGTCCTCACACGGGTTACCAACTATTCAGAGCCGTAGGCTACACACCATAAGTACGAACATGCAAATGAATCCTCCTCATTGCAAATGTACGATAATTGCATTCCTCTTTTTAAGACTGATGAGCTAGTTAGTTATTCTACGGTGTAGGATACGTAAACGGAGTGTAGACTACTGGTAGACTACTGGTAGACTACTGGTTCATTATTTTAGAGTGCTATCTGTCATCCCCCATGTTAGACAACCAGCCTTTGACGAGACGGAGGGAGAGAGAAAAAGGAGGATAAAGAGAGAAAAAACACAGAGCTACGGGGAGAAATGAAGCTCATCATTAGCTAGCTACGCTGAATTAGACTAGCGATTAGCGGCTAAACACTGTAGGCTTTTGAATAGCCTAAACCACCAAACGACTGCTGAAAGGAGCTGGCTTTAGTATTCATCAGGCATTTCTCAGTGAGACCAGATATAATGGCAGCAACAAGCAGAAAACAGTAAAAGTCATTCACTTACATTCAAATCTCAGTTGAGAGAACATTAATTATGAAAACCTTTAATGGAGCAGTGACAAATGAGCGTGTCACTGTGGATTCTCTGCTACCAGGCCTTTTACAGTAGATGGATAACCACAGCAATATAACATGATGCATACTTAATGAGTGGCATTTTATATTACGACACATCAAGAAAAAATGCTATTTCTCAGTCAAGGCGAATAGCTCCGAGAATGGTGAGAACAAAATCTAAATGTCAGAGAGCTTCTAGCTCCATAAAAACCCTAGTATTGTTGCCTGCTGGTGACACCCCTGTAGCTAAACACTAGTATAACTCCCCTGTAGACAACTGAACTCTGGCTCACACCAGACTAGAGAGAACTCAGCTCGGCAGGCCTATCTCTCACACACTCAGCCAGCCAGCTGTGTCTCCCCTTTGAGCTCTGAGTCACATCCCTGTACAGTGACATGATGCTATACCGTAATACAGTACACCCCCTATGATCCTATACTGTAATACAGTAACCCTCTGATCCTATACCGTAATACAGTACACCCCCTATGATCCTATACTGTAATACAGTAACCCTCTGATCCTATACCGTAATACAGTACACCCCCTATGATCCTATACTGTAATACAGTACACCCCCTATGATCCTATACCGTAATACAGTACACCCCCTATGATCCTATACTGTAATACAGTAACCCTCTGATCCTATACCGTAATACAGTAACCCTCTGATCCTATACCGTAATACAGTAACCCTCTGATCCTATACCGTAATACAGTACACCCCCTATGATCCTATACCGTAATACAGTAACCCTCTGATCCTATACCGTAATACAGTAACCCTCTGATCCTATACCGTAATACAGTAACCCTCTGATCCTATACCGTAATACAGTAACCCTCTGATCCTATACTGTAATACAGTAACCCTCTGATCCTATACTGGTCCTCTATAGCTCAATTGGTAGAGCATGGCGCTTGTAACGCCAGGGTAGTGGGTTCGATTGCCGGGCCCACCTATACATAAAAATGTATGCACACATATACATAAACATGTATGCTTTGGATAAAAGCGTCTGCGAAATGGCATATTATTATTATATTATTTAATACAGTAACCCTCTGATCCTATACCGTAATACAGTAACCCTCTGATCCTATACCGTAATACAGTAACCCTCTGATCCTATACCGTAATACAGTAACCCTCTGATCCTATACCGTAATACAGTAACCCTCTGATGCTATACCGTAATACAGTAACCCTCTGATCCTATACCGTAATACAGTAACCCTCTGATCCTATACCGTAATACAGTAACCCTCTGATCCTATACTGTAATACAGTAACCCTCTGATCCTATACCATTTTACAGTAACCCTCTGATGCTATACTGTAATACAGTAACCCTCTGATCCTA